CCCATGACAGCAAACGGATATCAGAGTAACGGCCTAGTTGATGCTTTCTGACAAAGAAGAAAAGACTTTACTAAAGACAAGGGTGACTGCTGCTCTTGCGTAAGGGAGCTGCGGTTGGGATTGGAATCAGTTAGAAGAACACCAGGGGTGTGGAAGCCACCAGGCTTGGGAGTTTAACATGCTTTCTGAGGTCTGCAGTGGGAGCTCCACCCCGCCATTGAGGAAGAGAGCCCTTTGACACGCCCAAGGCAAGCCGCAAGAGCAGCTGCACTGGGACTGAACACCAGCCAGATCCAGGCCTCCCGTTTGAGCTCAAAGGACATGACACTTGATTTTCTGGTGGAAGCTTTGCAGCATTTCTTTGGCACCTTTCTTGTCAGATGTCTTCTGAAGTAATGGCTAGGGGTGACTTCAGAAGACATGTTTTCTCTTTAGGATTTTAGGAATACTAGGAGACAAATTGAACAAGGCTTCGTATACAGTAGGAGGAACAGGTGCCGGCCTGAGTTTGTATTAAGATGAAAAACTTGATGGCTAATGAGATGTGTAATTAGAAAGTTGTTCTTTGGATCTGCAAATGCACATGTGGGGTTAATTTTGCCAACTGTTAACAGTATGAGACTGGTAAGATATTAAAAAATAAATACATGTGGTCAACAGTTTAAAACGGAAAGACTCATCCTGGTTTAAGTTGATCTTCAATCCTAGTTAAACGCGGCAATACTGTGTTTGTCCGACTACTACAGAGTGACCGTTTTAGGCAGACAAACGTTAGATCTACGGCACAATCTACGAATAACTGTCAGAAAAATAGAGTATCTTTCTGTGCTGTGGAGAGAGCAGCGCTCGGCACAGCTAATTTTCAACGCTCGGCGCAGCATTGAGTTAAGGAAAGGCATCTCCGGACTTGTTTTGTTCGCTATCCACAGGGCTGTTTGCATTCCTGTCTTGAGCAGAGCAGCTGCATCAGGTTGGGATACGATTTTAACTCCCTCTTTCATTATTCTTTAAAAAGAAAGAAAAGCCTCTTCCGGGTCAGCACAGCAAATAGGGGGGGGAAATGCACTTGGAAAAACGTTACGCTATATAAAAGCCTCAAAAAAATATAAATAAGCAAAACTGGGAGCAGCAGGCAGAGACAAAAGGACTAAGTACTGTACAGTGGAAGATCGAGGAGCATCTGTATGCACCAGACGTAAGGAATCGACTGCCCCACAAGGCGAATTACAGAACGAGACAAGCAGCGCTGCGCCTCCGAGGTGCTTGAACCCGAGCACGGCTCTTCAGGATCTAAACCCTGTTTTAGCCGGGTGGGTTTTATGTGGAGGTAATGATGAGTCAAAGTCGAGCCGGACAGGATGGGAATACTAGCAGAACAGAGTGCGGCAGTACCTCAAGCAGCAGCGGCGGGGGCATCTCCAGGCTGCAGGTCTACAGCAGCCATTCGCAGAGTGGCCGGGGCAGAGACATGCGTTCCCAGCAACTGGGTCGCCACAGCGGGTCCAGCGCCAAGCAGACGGGCCATTCCGAACCGACGGATCTGCTCCGAAGGGCGCTGGACTTTAAGACTCAGGGAACCCAGTGCTACAAGGAAAAGAAATACAGGGAAGCGATCGGCAAGTATCACAGGGCACTCCTGGAGATGAAAGGGCTTTGCAGGGTTCTCGGAGACCCAGATGCCAGTTCTAAGTCGCCATCCTCCGCGGTGCCAACACCGGGCAAATCCACTCTGACAGACGAGGAGAAGGGGGCTGTGGAGAACGCCGAGCTGGAGTGTTACAACAGTCTCGCTGGTATGATGAGCGATGCCGCTGCTCGTTCGCTACACAATACACCAACACTCTCTGAAATAAAGCACAACAGTGAACAGAACCACATTAGTGGATCGTTTTATGTCCAAACCGCTGACATCTCCGACATCGTTATGACTATAATTGATGGTTAAAAGCGTAGTACACACAGCACTTCTGTCGTGCGTTTTTTCTATTTTTCTTTAACGTTTCCACATTATTTAGGAGGATAATGCAAACATCATTTTGCATCTGTATGGTATTATGTTCGTCGTAGCTTCGTATGGGACAAATTACAGCATTTTGATTTGTGTGCCTGCAGTATCATCTGCTGTTTGTCATCCGGTTACAGGTTGCAGTTAGGATGATTGTCGGAAATTCGCTTTGCATTGTGTTTGGGAGCAGATCACACTCCCAAAATATTTGCTTTGCAATTATGGTGAGTTGAGTTTGTGCTAAGCGTTGTTTTTGTAATGATTAAAAAATTGTAGATTTATACGATTATTTGTAGTTTTATAACTACCTTGTTATTACGTAAACACAGGAAGTCATCGGCTACTTTTCGAAAATCGATATACATGTATTCTAGTAAGTCCTTAAACGAGTAGTTACTTGATAAACATGATTAAATCATTTAGAGACAGAAACCGTGTACGTGGCTGTAGAGTGTTTTACAAGGCAGTAGCGTACAGATTTTCATTTAAGATGAAAAATTATTTAGTACGTTATCAATGATTATGCCTGTATGTATACCTTCAGATGATCCCGATTAAATAGAATTTATGTTGTGCAAAGTCAATAGTTCAACTGGATAAAAAGATAGCCATTTTAGTTGGTTCTTGGTATTTTACTCGAAATGTGCGTTAGTCATCTATCTCAGTGTTGAAACGAATGAGGCGCTCTATCTTTTAAAAATAAAACTAGCAGTTGCGTGTACAAAACAGTTCTCTTCAAAGACGAATCAAAGGTTCCTCGGAGAGCGACACATTTTATGTGTTATTTTCTATGTCTGATATGTACTTATCGTAATCCGTTGTCAATTCTATCAATTCTCACACATTCCTCTGTGTAGAGTTTGCATGCTTCTGCTGTGTTCACACGAGCTTTATCCAGATGCTCTAGTTTTCTGTGACTCTCGCAAGGAATAAATGGCTTTCTGATCATGGATGAATTCAGTCTGTATTGGGAACGGGTGACTATGAGAATAGTTCTGATACTGCAAGGTTCATTATTTGGCCCCAGTGAGAGAACTGGACTCCCCACCTCATAACTTCCCCTTGACAAGAGAGGTTTTGATACATTTCTTTTCAGTAACCAGTAATGATTATTGGGCTGAACATTGGAGAGTATGAGGCAAAATGACCACACGGTTCAGGTCCCACAAAACTTGGGCTGCCCTGGTCTCCTGACCTCAGTTCTCCTCTTGTTTTGGTTAATGGGTATTAAAGTCAAAATTAAAATCTCTTAAGACTGACAGATATAGAGCCAAAAACAGTCTAAAATATCACATTAGACAATTATTGGTTAAATGAGGTGCTCAATTTAAATTACTCTATGTGCTGGTTTCCTCCCACTGTCCAACGACATGCTGGTAGGTTAAATCTTGGAAAACTGTCCCTAATATGAATAATAGTTTAGGTGGGTCAGCAGGCGTAGGCTGCATAGGAACAAGTAATAGGTTTATTCCATGCTGAAAAAAAAGAAGGAAAACACAACGTTTTGGCCGTAGAGCCTTCTTCAGCCATCTTCTTTTTTTCAGCACGGGATAAACCTATTACTTGTTCCTAATATGAATATATGCATGTTTATGTCTGTGTGTACCTTGTGATGAGCTGGCGTCCCTGGGTATATCCTGCCTTGCACCCAGTGTTTCAACAATAACAAGGCCTCTTGTCCCGAAATATAATTGACTGCGATATGTTGATTGTTTTCACAGCAGACTCAGTACGTACGGTACCACTCTCCAAGATGTACTGTAGCTGTTAGTTGAGGGGTGAAGGGGTGTCAGGCCCATCTAACTCTTGTGTACCGCACTCCCAGCTTGCCTGCTGCAGATGGAACTGGTGAATTATGAGAGGGTGAAGGAGTACTGTCTGAAGGTCCTGCGGAAGGAAGGGGAGAACTTTAAGGCCCTGTATCGCTCAGGGGTGGCCTACTACCACCTGGGAGACTTCCACAAGGCCCTGCACTACCTTAAGGAGTCTCACAAGCAGCAGCCCTCAGGTCAGTTGCTCTCTGAGCATGGGAATCCGTTACACACAATGTTTAGCACAGGACATGTTTGGTACTTTTTCTCGCAGCTGGATGAAGAGAGTAAGATGTTTTTATGAGTCTGTCTGGAAATCACATTATTCAAGGAGTTAAATCCTCAGCTTTATGGACTTCCTGTTTCTTGCTAGGAAATGAGCGCAGGTTCTTTCACTGAAACTTCTGCACAATTGGCACTGTTCTAATTTATTGAAAGCATAACGTCCAGTATTGCCTATCAATCACCTCGGCAAAGGCACATTAGAAGTTGACTGGCAGTATATATAAAAATAAATTCATTAGTTTCAGAAGCTTTCCAAAATTCCAATAATGGTTACATTATGAATAACACTCGACAAGACCTCAAAGCTTTTGAATGTTTCTCTGCTAACTGTATTTTGAAAAGACCCAAGGTTAGAAAAAGGGTGTACTTAAGCTAATTAATTGATATCTAATGTTGTATGCCACGTTTTTTTAGCAGCATTGCTGTACAGTATTTTATTATAATGTGCAATGTTTATGTGTTTAAAATTGTAAAGAAACTAAATTTCTCAGAATTCCTGCTCAACAGGAGAGCAGTCCTAACAGCTCAAAGTTATGTGTTTTGCATCAGCCTGAGAGTTTCCTGTTATGTTCACTGTTAAAATAGCCTTTTCCTGTCTTTGTGCCTCTGTGCTGTATCCTGCAGACACCAATGTTATCCGCTACATTCAGCTGACAGAGATGAAACTCCGGCGCAGCTCTCAGAGGGAAAAGGAGGCCTCGTAAACAGAAGCTGCTGTTGCCATGGAAATGTGCCATGAGCAATCTCTGTGCCGAAACCTGGCAGGCCTCACCTTCTGGCCAGTGCTTAGAACTACCCATTCTGATTGGATATGTGCCTATACACAGACCTCTTACAATTGGATGTCAGGAGTGGATGTGGAGTGCATGATTGTTTTGCTATGCGCGTCCATTTTGTTTTATTCCAGGTGGTAATTCATACAATAACTTATGATATTCCAGGAAACAGGCAATGTATAATTGTCTTTATAAACAAAATACTGATAGAACAGTAAAAAAAAAACCAACATCACTAAATAGCTTAACCGGGCTCCTGGCACTGTATTTGTCATGTGCCATCTGTTAATGTTAAATCTTCCAAAGATCCTACCAGCAGTGCCAAGAATCCTGCAGTCTCCTTCCAATGGACACATTCCCTCACCCTCTGACTCACTGAGGAGACAAGATATCTCCCCAAAAAACTGTGGAATATTTACGAAGAACACCTTAACTGAACACTACGTACAGATTCAAAACAGCAATATCAAGCTTGGAAAACATTTGCTCTAGGTTACATACAGTACTGTAACACATTACATATATTAACCCTGCTCCTGGCCATCTTGCTAAATTTCAAACCCCAGCATGATCAATACCACAGCCCCTTCAAAATCTTTTTAGGAATATCAGTCATACCCCTACTTTGTCATACCAAAAGGCCAGCGATATACATCAGTTCTGAAGCTAAATATTCTCAGGGATGTGAAAAGTACAGCAGAAATGAAAGGAAAGGAAAGTCAGTTCTGTTTTGTGAAGCAAAAGCATTGTCATGATGTAGAACTTAGGCACATTAGCAATCTGTAATCATTTTGTAATTCCCTCTCTAATGTTACCATTTCATTAAAAACAGGATTCATGGTAGATCTAAACCATTCAGTGGTCCACAAGCTGTCAGTAAACATTAATCTGCAACTAATCACCTGCGCAATAGAGTCCATCTCTTAGATACTATACGCAGGACTGCAGCCTTGACCTGTAATGCCCTGGCATTCAAAGTGTGTTTTAGAAAGGCACTCTTTCATCCCTGAGAATGAACTGTAAATATTAACAGACTGTACCTAAATCACAGTACATACATAGTGCTCACATTGTGGTTGATGCAAAGCTGTATTCAAATACCCTCCTTGTGGGAATGGTAGACTCCTATTGTTAATAACTGTGGCTAACTTCACTGTGGATATGAAGTGTTTCATTAAAGACAGGCATTTAAGGAAAAAAACATCCATCTCTATTAATTGTTGAAAACGGGGCCTCAAAAAGTGGCTCATCCAGTAAGGGTGCTGGCCCAAGTGCTCTATGAGCTCTGTGATCACTGGTTTGAATCTGGGTCACATCACTAGCTGACTGTGACTGGAATTCTCCATGAGGATATGGTGGGATTGGGTGGCTGGGGTGTGTTCAGCAACACAGGGACCCTTGTTGCCTCATTGGCATTTGCAGGCTCATATGGTGCTGTTGGTGAGGGATGCTCCTTCTATCAGCACTAAACCTGGGGTTGCTGTAATTTGTTTCATGATGAGTGACTTTAAAGATGGGCTGCTCTGTCTGCATCTTCTCCTTCTATCCTCCCAGTGTGTGGTTGCGAGGATAGTAGCTGCGAACTGAGGACAACACAATTTGCTATTCCAAATCCCTTGAGTATAACAAAAATAATTGGCAATTATAAGTTAAAAGAAACACCCTGCATAAACCTGTGTCAGACAGGGGAGGCTCTACTGACTGTTCTGTATGAGTAAATCAATTCTTGGAAAGCAAGACTCTTAAAATGTGATAAGGAGGCATGATTGCAATTCAGGGCAGTCAAAAAATGTATTGACCAAATAGGCACTGGGCATTTGTGGCATGGATGTGTCTTTGTCTTGATATTTTAAGTTTAGTATTTATTTAGTTACACATAACAAATTGATACTGAATCACTTCATAGTTGACAAGTGTTGCACATTTTATATTGGAGTAAAAAAAAACTCTTCTTATTAAACAAGCTTGTCAGAAATGGGGAAAAAATACTGAGTGTGGCCTAGTTTGCTTTCAATATGCAGTTTCCACTGATGTCCATTTAATCTGTCTTTGTGGTTTGAGTTCAAATGAATCTGTGCTGTGCTGCTTCAAAGCAAACCTTTTCTTGTGAAGACAGGTGCTATTAAAACGGAGCCAACATACTGTATAACTGTGAATAATTTCTTGGAGGGCTCTTTTGTAAAGGGTAGGGGCATCTTTCATTCCACTTCACTACCCGTTTACCACAATAGTTTAAGTCACGTGCCTGCACTTTTTCTTGTCATTCTTCACATCCTGATGAGTCGTCAATCTTACACAAACTAAATCTAGCACATTTGCTTTCAGGATGTATGCACAGGCAGGGCCAATTGGAACACTACAGGCTAAGTCTAAGTCTAAGAGAAATTCCTGCTGCACATTTGGCAGTGGCATCCATCTTGAGAGGAAGGTGTTTCTCTAAATGCAAACAAAGTCAGATGGAGGAGCCTTGAGAATACACTGTTGCTGCACTGAGGGGTACCTGACAGCAGTGAGAGGTAGACTATGTTCGTGTTGGCCAGGGTGCCCTTGATGTGACTTGGTGTGCACCAGTGACTTCTGGGATCTACTAGATTCATTGAGTGACATACTGCCCCTCCAATTGGCGCTCACTCTCCTGTAAGGCACAGTGGCCGAGATGATAAGCCATTGGTGGATCCGAATTCTGTGTATCAAAAGAAAATAATTAAAGTTTTTCAAAAATTCAGAATATTAAAAAAAACACAGGCACGTTACTTGAACCGTTAGAGCAAGGTGATGTACCGTAGATTATAACTGTTTTTCACAAACCCCAATGCTTGCTTTTTAAAGATTAAGTAATGCTTAGCATAAGCACATTGCCTGTAGGGGAATACTTAGTAGCCTGGGCACTCTGTATACACAAAGAATGTTACAAAGCTGTAGAATAATATAACAAGGGTGAAACATCTTTGAGATGTACTCGTATATACAGTAATTGTTGGTGTGAAAAAAAAAACAGTTTTACATTGTTTGTAATCTTGTTCTGTAACCTAAAGTTACATATTAAATATAAAAGTGGTATCACTAAATCTGACTCGTCTTTGTCTTGCTTCTGATATAAGTGCAAATTGAGAGGCCAAGCAGAATACCCAGTATCACTTCTGACCAAGCCACCTGTCAGGAGGAGTGCTTGAGGCTCTACTTCTAATACTAATTTGTCTGATGCTTTTATCCAAAGTAACTTACATTTGCACTCATTTATACAACTGGGTATTTTACTGGGTGAAGTACCTTGCTCACTGGTACAATAGCAGTGGCTCCTTCATGACTTGAACCTGCAACTTTCCAGTTACAAGGGCAGAATCCCAACCACTACACCATAATGTTACCCAGAAATATGATATGCGAGCATATTTTTTCCTCACCGAGTAATAATTTTATATATACAAATGCTTAACTTGAATTGCTACACTTTGCGATTAGAGTCCTGGTCAGAAATTCATTTTCTACCCATGCACTGGAAATGACAAAAAGCAGCATCTCATGCCACTTTCAAAAGATCCCTCAGTTTGAATGTAAAATGTACTACCCTGACTGAGATGAACATTCAAAATAGTAACCACAGGCATTGATGAAAACAGAGAAACATGAGCCAGAGGACCCAGGAGGAAACTAGGGTGCAATTAAACCAAGAACAGGGGGCACTTCACTACCAAAAGGGTTGTGGGATTCTGGAACAAGCTACCCAGCCGTTTTGTTGAAGCCAATACCGTGTCTTCTTTCAAGGAATGGCTGGATGAGATCAATTAACTGGTTGCTTTCCAAGCGGCAAAGATGGATTGAATGGCCTCCTCCCATTTGTTAACTTGTTCATAAAGAAATAACTTGATAGTAACCAAGAAAAACCTCAAATACCTTCTGCATGAAGCTAACTTCTTAAGCAGCTGATATCCCTGTTTTCTAATGTTCTTCCAGTTCCATGTTTTCTCAGTATGAAAGGATACCAGGCCGTGTCTGATTTGCTCTGGAAGTCTACATACAGTACACACCCCCTGGGTCATACATCGCAGGGAGATGACAAACTCTGTGTTCCCTCAGCAGATGTCCTTGTTAATAATTTAAGACCTCCATATCATGCTTAATTCTAACCTTGCAGAGGTGAGAAAACAACAGGGCCTACAGAGACAGTTCTGACTTAGAGTTCCTAGCTCATGACTAAGGTACATAACGCACTGCAGAAGGAAGGGAATCCTAAAACAAACACCAAGAGGAATAATGTAGTCCAGTACAAGAAAGCCGTATGCACTTGAGACAGCGACTGAAAATCCTGTATCTCTGAGGTACCATTTTCAGTGGTGCATGACAGTGAGTACTGGATATTAATGCAGTTAAGGCAAGCCAAACATATACAGTATAAAGTATAACCAGATCATGCTAAGGAGATGGAGAAAAAAAATCAGTTGGAAGATATTTCTGTGCAAATCATCATCCGTTGTGATGAGGCTTCTTAGTGCCAACTTGGTGTTCTGTAAATACCGGAGGCATTAAAGCTCAGCACAGCAGGCTTCTTCTTAGAGGCTGGACATGGTGGAATGCCTTTCTGCACAAATTTCTGGTGACAGCAGGCTCCCACAATCCAGACTGTGCAAGCCTGTGGCTTTACACATAGAGCTGTGCTTATTAATTTCAAATTAAACATAGCGGTATTTGTCACCAAAGAAGTCACGCATCCATGACTTGTTAAAGGAGAAGAAATCATTTAACAAAAGCACGAAATAACCAGAGAATGTATTTCACTGTATTTACGATATGAAAGAATTATCTGTGGATTTAAATCTCAAATACTTAAACACACTATTGGATGTTGGCAGAACAAAGATGGCAAATGAGAGGAGATAACATGCTGCTCGGCTGGATTCCAGCAATTAATATATTTCATCTTGTCCACCTGTTCTTGAGAGATCCTAAGAAACTAGTTTATCTGAATGGTGTCATCCCAGACACCCAAAACTTTCTATATAATGGGTTTCACCTATTTAAATCCCAAGATTTCCACTTATTGCCTTAGGTCCTAGTACAGAACAGTGTTGGTAGATGAGTATAACACTTATTAGACACCCAACAATGTCAGCTGTCAGCTGTAAACCTTCATTACCGAAAAAGAAGTGTCTTCAGGATGAGAATGCTGACAATCCTGCAATAGGAACATCTCAACTCTGTCTCCAAGGAAGACTAAAACACTGAGTTTCTTCTTACAATTAACTTTGGTGCAACAGCACAAACATATATAGGCAATTAGCGAAAGGATGCAAAAATGAGGACGAGGAGACTGTGACCCCCTCTGCAGAATGAGACATGAACCAAGGGGCAGCTGCACAGGTGGAGAAGGCAGAGGGATGCGCGAGACAAAACTGGAAAATGGGATGCATAGCTTGAAGGAAATGTCCGGAATAATTATGATTTCGAACGGCAGGGAGGAAAGTGACAGGGTTGCCGTCGTCCCTTCTGAACTGCAGTCAAGAACGCAATTTACAAAAGCTCCAGACAGGCATGCCGTGAGGCTAAGGCCCCAAGACTGGACAGACTGACACAATCAGGCAGGAGCGCGAGAGGAATAAGACTGAGGTGCTGCAGGATGCATATGACACCCTAACATCGACTGCTGCGAGAAACATTCGGCCCACTAGCCCATTTGGTAGTTAGCAATCAATGGACCCAAGGATCTCTTCCAGCCCTTTCTTAAAAACGTTAAAAATGTTGGCTTCAATACCATGGCCGGGTAGATTGTTCCCCACTCCTACAACCCTTTACGCAATGAACTGTTCTCGGTTTTAAAATGAATTGCCATGTATTTTCCACTGGAAGTGCATTTAAAACCAAGAACTGGGGGGCACAACACAAGAAAAAGCAGGATCCCAACACAGTTACACAGTTTCTTTTTTACTATGATTTTATTGGTCTATGTGCTCCAGTGCAGATACAAATCCTATAACAGTGTCATATACTGAATGCAATAATAATAATACTGTCACCATCATTATAATAATCATCTTTGTCATTATCATAATAGTACCTATAGCCATAGAACCAAGCCTGCTTGGCATCCTTGGTTTAAATATGAGGACAAACAGCTTATTTTTCAATATTCAAATATTCTACAACTTAACAACGTTATTAAAAAAATGTTTACAGCACAGCTTGTGGTTTTTAAAACTTTCTGACATCAGAAAACAAACCAACGTTTCAACAATGACAGTGGTGCATACTGTGGAACAAATACAGCTTGATGACAAAATTCTATGACACCTGACTTGGACAGAAGGTTTTGGATGACGAAAGATGGCCAATTTGTTTCAGGTAAATCCCTCTGTCTACACCAAGGCTCGGGAATCCTGCAGAGCTCACAAGGCTTTTCTCAATCCTTGATTTGGGAATCTTCTAAGTGCTGTTAGAGCAGGGCTGCTCAACATGCAGCCCATCCAATTTGCTCCATTGCAGACATCTGATAAAACCAACAACTTCACTGCCATAGCGATCTGGTAGATTTATTGGTGAAAAGAATTAAGGAGTTGGTTGGAACACAATTCTGGAGTGCAGGAGGTTGGAAGGGCCGCCGCCGTTTGAGTAGCAGTGTGTGAAATGTTATGAATCTTAGGTGGCCAGTGTATTGCTTCCCAATTGTAATTCTAGAAAATAAAACCGATTATAAAAAGCTATTTGAAATTCGATCCAGACACCACTTTGTATTTTTGAACTCGATACAGCAGAGATCTACACTTCTAGGCCCGGAGAGCGCTAGTCCTGCAGACTTTATAGGTAGCCTGTAAATCAGGATTTTTTAAAGACCTGGAACAATTTCACTGTAATCAATAAAACAGATGGTGTATCCAATTAAGTCATTTAGAGATCTTTAGGATAAAATAGCAGAATACCAGACTAGTGTTTCCTTCATTGACACATGACTTAACTAAGAATAACGGAATCAGAGCTCTCCTGGAACAGGGCTGGAGACCCTTGTGTGATACAATGTGTTATACCACATTATTAGCAAGCTATTTTGAGAGTTGCACATTTTAATTAGGAAAGAATACGAGTCAGAACTTGGATGCTGACATTCACATACAGTACAGTTTTGCGAGATCACAGCATGATTTCATCAAAATGAGTTGAGTCATTTCAACACCTGGGTGATACCCCCGATAGATTCATCAACACTAGATTGTTTGCAGGAAAATAAATATGTTTAAAAACATAAAAGTGTTTTGCAAAAGAAGATACAAATTTGTGTGGGAACCACTACTGTACTGCTGTCCAGGAAATCTCTAATTCATGTTGCTCACATGCAGGCTTCATTTGTAAAACAGAAGGGTTTTCCCCACTGCTGTTTTCCTAATAGAAAAATGGAGATGGCTGATACAGAGAGCATAGATCCACTATGAAACAGTGTGTTTTACATCTATATTACCAATTGGATTACTACTCCAGGCTACATTCAAATGTGACTCAAACCTTTTCAAATATTATTTTTCAGAACTGCATTGGGTACAAGGACACTACATATGAAAATATATTTGCACCTTATGAGACACCCACTTTGAACTGGCCAGGAAGAAACTTTTTGGACATGAAAAGAACAAATGACTTCATAATGGAGGGCAACACCTCAACAGAAGCCTCTTAAGTCCTAAAGTTGTTTTTCAAATGGTTTCATTATCCTTTGTCACTGCCATACTGCTACCCTTACAGGCTGCTGATTGTGTCACAATTATGGTCCCTACTGAAGGGAAAAAAAACAATATTTTCATTCGATCACTGAAAAAGCTTCATACAAAAGAACAAACATATAAAAAACATATAAATAAATAACAAATAAATAAACAAATCAAAAATGCCACCAGGGCTTCCAGGAGAAGGACTTCCAGCATCTTGGAAACAGAGCAAGACTTTATTGTATTAACTATAAACTGAGCCACCAAAACATTACAGGTGCTATGGGATTAGAGCTGTGGTTTGTAGCCATTTGAAAACTTGTGCCATCTTGTTTGCAATTGAGGTGGAAGGTACATCTTCTGAAGACCAGTTTTCTTCTGCTGAGCAGGAAAGCCTAAATAAAATGTATTTACCTCACTTCACAAAGGTTTCCCAGCATTATCATCTAAGTGCTTGTGCCAGACCCTTTCAGCCTTAATGACCAAAGAAAACCTCAAAGTACGTTAAGGGAAATTCTATATCTTAATGTGTGGTGTGTTTAGGTAAATAGGTTGTAAGCGGAAAAAAAAAGACAGCAGCACAGAATTCCAAATTCCAAAGTAGTCTGCAAACACAGATAAACCACACACACCATAAAAGAGGGAACCTCACATACAGTACCACACACCTTTAGAGAAAATGTAACTAGCCACTGATGTCAAGTACCACAGCACAGTTCAGTTTTGAAGTTAGCAAATCACAGTAATATTGAGAAACAGGAAAGAAAAATGTAAGCTGCTTCAACAACAAATTAATTTAGGTTCTCTGTCACTTTTTTTCCTAGACACTACATTTACAGTTTAATTGTAGGTTTCGCCATCAGTTGTAGTTGTAGGCCTACATTTGAAAATGAAATTTGACCCATCCTCCCAGCATAATTCCTAAACTTAGTACCTTCTGCTGGTGGCCTGGTTTTAAACCATCGGAAATTTGCAATCAAGCCCTAGGCTTTGGAATTTGCACTGCAACAGCTTGCTTGACGGTTTTATTGAATCTGGACTTCAACAGCTACACTTCTATATTCAGTGAGCATGGAATGAAGTATTTATATTGAATGTGATGGTTTATGGACAAAACTGCTTTCAGTATTGCAGATGTTAATACCCATCCCAGCCAGGAATATGGAACACTGGTTAGGGCAGGACAAATTAGAAGATTGTGGGTTCAAACCCCAGCTATTGTACTCTTGAGTACCATCATTTTCTCAGCATGTTTTAGGAAAATGTCCCCTAGTGTGAAAAGGTATGTTGCGTTGGATAAACCATTATTAATACTTATTTAAACGGCTATAGTGAGATGGACTGAGAAATAAATACATTACATTGGCAGTTTGCAAATAAAATTTAAATGCATGAAGCCAAACAGAACAGACGAACGGTTTGCGTCACAATGCCTGGTACAAGCCAGCCTAATAGGTGAAGTACTTTCAGTTCTCCAACGTTTTGCACTGTATTTGTAAGTGCATTGAAATTCTGACTGGATTACAGGTGTGGTGAAAAATTTCCAAACCAACCATTACAGGCTGACAGCTGTGACAGTTACTTTACGATGACGCAAAAATTAGCAGCGGAAATTACAGTCAATAGGTGTACCTTGCATATGTTCCCCATCCAAACGGACATTAGCACACAGGAAACTGATACTGTGGCAACAGAAAGCACCTCAAGTGTATTTTAAGACACAGGGATGAACCTCAGTGGGTTCTGGGAGCAGCCAAAGGGACCCTAGACAAAGGCCCAAGATGGCAAACGTTTGCTACATTCGTGTTTCTGAAGGAACGGAAAACAGCATGTTCACCACACATTCTGTGACACTGGCACACGGCTGACTTTCCCTTGATTACAAGATCTTCATAAGGTTCCTTATGCGGATTTGTTCTCAGAAGTTCTTTTTACTTAAAAACTGATTCTGACACTGTGATTCTTAATTTTGAAGCACAAAACAAAAAACCACAGAAAGCCCTTTGGGGTGTGTGGATTGTTTTTTTTTTTGCCAATACATTCATTTTGGGACCTCTGTGGTCTCTTACTCATATGCCTGTAGGTGCTGGTTACAGGTAGGGGGACCTTTTGGGACACTTTGAGACAGACCAGATGGTTTAAATTTTCATAAAACATAATGCTCCGTTGCTCATCGAGTAGAACTACTTAATCGAGTGCAATAGTAGCATAAATAAGTTCATAAAGCATATTTTATTGTAAGGATTCAATAGTATGTCAAGTGACAATTTCCTTAATAATAAACCACATAATAATGCTTCAAAATGACAATCATACAAATTTTTGCTGCAATTATTTTTTCTTACTGCAACTTTAAAATTGCAAATCTTCTCCAAGTCCCTCAGCCTAAATGCTTTATAAAAATCCTGTCATGTCTCAAAATGTCCCAGTGAACACAGAGACACTATACAGTATGTGATCACCCAGGTAACAATTCAATTCACTTTGCAGGCTTCCAGAGAAGAGGTCCCTAACCTCTAGATATTAATACTGTATGTTCCAAATGAAATAGCACTAACAGCGCGAGGGACACTTTGAAACAGAGCTTTAATAAAAACTCTGTCTTTCCCACCAATCCCAAATTATGTACCCAGTTCAGTTCAATCCAATGTAGATTTTACCACCGAGTGTAAGATTTGCAATTTTTAAAGGGAAGTGAGCAGAAATCTTGATTAATATGAGCCTAAATTACGCTACATTATGTCTGCTGTGTTTTTAAATATTAATTTAGGGGGGAAACAGGACCTACTTTTTATTGGTACTTAGAGACCACAGTACCGTTAGTGCAGAACAACTGGGTAGATACAGAAAGATTTAGATGAACCCAGAAATCAGTGCTGTCCAAAACAGCTCGAAAAGATTATAGGTCTTTTGTACAATATCACTATTTTCCACTTCACATGTTATGTTGACAACTGCTGTTTAGAAGTCCAGACTAAGCGAGAAGGATTAGAAAGGAAACATTTCCTCAAAGAACTCTTTAGGTTCAAGGCCTGTTTCTCAAGGTACAATTGCTTTCAGGTCTGTTTCCATCAATACAATCAAGCCTTACATTCATGAAGCTGCTCTTCCTGTGTGCCATGAACAGCAGAAAGAGAATGAAAGACACTTTCATGAAAGTTTACAAAATATGTTAAAGCTCTATGAAGGGTTCAGTGCATCTGAGAAAAAAGCCAGCTGTTAACAAGAGTATTTTGCTACTGTTTTTGCTCTGTTTATCTGATCTATGTTTACTGCATACCCTTTGCCACATCTGAAACAAAAACTGAAATTTGTGTGCAGAACGTAACAAAATTACAGCCAGGAAGGTATCAAGGACAGCTGTCTCAACTTTAGCAGCAGCTCGTTAGCAATTGGTCTCCCATCTGTCTTCTTCAATGAAAGAGGATGCTTCTGGATGAGTTTGAATTATGGAAGGCTAAAAAAATGAAAGCAGAAATGAATAAAAAAAGACGACCGCCCCTGCACAGGAACCAGGACAGGTGCGTGCTTGTCAGGGGGGCAAGAATGGACAAGCTAAGACCAGAAACCTGGTCGGAGGCGAAAGGGGGAATGCTTGGGGATCTGCGATTCAGGTCTGCAGAGAGGGAGCGTCCCGTCCCGGCACTGCCCCTCATCGTCTTGGTCGAGCAGGGTTCTGCGCTGCTGGGTGGAGGGGGTGGGCGGCTCAAGGGTACGGGGCCTCTCACTGCAGTGGACCCCCCCTGCCCCGCCCAACTCCAAAGTGGGTGGGGTACCAGTGCTGGAGCTGTGAGCGGGGGACACCCCGCAGCCCCCTCGACCGCCCGGGGAGTCCCCCCAGGAGAGCTCCCGGCACACTCGGGGTGAGGGGCGAGGCCGGGCCAACACGTCCAGGGTTTTGGGGCGCTCGGGGGGGCAGCGGCGCCGAGGGGTCGGGGGGAACACCAGGTTGGGGTCTGGCAGACGGGGCACCTCTGAGACGTCGCTCTTGAGACCCCTCGGGCTGCATGCTAGAGGGCAGAGGAGAGAGAAAGAGAGAGACAGAGAGGATAAGAGCAACGGAAAGCAAACAAAGAAAACTGGCTTCACAGGCAAAGATGAAAAGGAAAGAACTCAACCAGACTGACCTGGGGGATCGGCAGGTCCCTCTGCGCTGCCAGATAATGGCTGAATGCTACTTTGGGGGCACCCTCTCTTGATGGCTCCATCGGAGGGCGTCCGTCGGAGGCTGTGATTGGTGCTGGGGGCAGCAGGGACATGTGTGGGTGTGAGGGACTGGCGGGGGTGGCGTTTGAAACTCTCCAGGTGAGTGTTGACCAGGGGGTTCGGGGCCGGAGGCGGCCTGTAAACCAGCAGCTCCTCGCTGTCGGACCGCAGGAGGGAACGCGTGGAGTTGCAGTCCGAGATGGAGGAGAGAGACAGGAGGGTGAGGGAGGAGGGGAAGGGTCTCTCGGCAAGGGGGACAGGGCGAGGCATGGGGCTCTCCTTCCGGAACAGCTTCCTGGTGGGGGGGCTTGTGCTGCGTCGCTGGCCCCCCGTGCGGTGGAAGAAACCCTCCCTGCGGTGCTTGCTCTCCTCAGGCCGGCTGAGGCCCAACAGGTCAAAACCCAGCCCTACTGCAGCCAGCAGAGCCCCGCACCCCAGCAGCACCAGCTCTGACCTCCGACCCCCCGCTGGGCTGCGCTTCATGCTGCTGGGGGGCGTGTCCGGGGCACAGACAGTGGAGGCATGTTCCCCGTTGCCCTCGGCAACATGCCCCTCCCTGTGGAAGGGGATGCAGAGGTAGGAGTGGCTAGGTGATGCAGGTGGCGAAGAAATGTCCCCTGCTTCTGTTGCATAGCAGCAGTCTTCATCGTCTGTAAGAAAGCAATTCCTTTTTTTTAACATGTTTTTATTTACCTCCTTCATTATGTATATAATGAAGGTTTTCAAGAGTGCGGGACAAACAGCATTTACAACAAAGGTATGGACTAACAAATGACAGTAAATCTCTATGTTCTTTGAGTCCATATTTACATTTCAGACATACAGTACATCCATTATGGTTTTATACCTGCTAATCTCCCACGTATAGTACATGTTCAATGGGTGCTTTGATCGGAAACTACAAGTTCACGTTAGAAATTCGAACTCTCACATCCTTGCCATTTTCCTTGCCAAGTCATATGGTTGCAATTCATGGAGTTTTAAAAGAAAGCTCAGGAGAAGGTCAAACCCTAATCTCGCCTGCTTTGCTTCTGTTGCATCCAAATACTTCGCTTCACTTGTGCATCTTCTCTCCCTCCCCTCCCTCCTCTCCCCCACCATCTCCCTTGCAACAGCTTCGTGGCTCATTCCTCGCAACACAAGGGAGTCTCCTGTCGGCCCCATCCATAGTCAGGCTGCCATTGCCTTGGCAAGGAAGTCATGCCAATTAAACACCTACTCCAAATCACACCTCTACTTTGCATTAATTAGGATTTAGTCAAAATACTGTATATGCAGTCACATCATATTCTAGAAAGCCTTGCTATTCATGTGCTTTTGACCTTAATAATATTCCAGCATTGAGCCGTCCTCATGCTCACTTTATTTGACCTTCCAGTGCTGGCAACAGAAAGACAGAACTCAGACGTTAAAGACCAGGCAGCTCTCACCCATCTCTGTCACGCTGGGCACACCTGGCACCGCGGGGCTGCTCCGAGGTGATCTGCGCAGGTTGGGCGTGCTGGACGACCACTGCTTGTTCCCCTCTAACAGCACCTTCACACTGCGGCGACACACAGGATGCAGGGCTCACTAACAAAACGCTAGCAAAGATCACCTCTTCTAAGAGTCAGAGCACAGTCTTGTTTAATATAGGTACAGTCAGAACCAAGACTTGTTTGGCATCCTTGACACTCTTACAAGTCCCGAATCCCTTGACAAGTCTCAAATCAGATGAGCTGAAATCCCAGTCTGGTGACTGAAAGGGTCTGGAATGCCTTTCAAGCTTCAGGTTGGCAACATGTTCACACATTGAGACTGAGTCAAGTTGTGCCTTCTCCCTCTAAAGTCCATCTTCAGATCCCATCAGTGGCCAACAAGCCTCAGAAATCTGAGTCACAATTGCTGGGATCTTATATCTTCCCAGGCCTGATTTGCATAGCCCAAACTAGCTTCACAAGAGTGAGAAGGCAGAAGCATCTCTCACTGGATACAGCAATCCCTTTAGATGGGCATGAACATACCCAGGTCAACAAAAAACTAAGCCATCTCAGTGGTGCTTGGCCATTTGTGCACTATTTGGTGAAACCTAGCCACTGGAACCTAATGTAAGAATGGAACTTTCAAGGTGGCTACTATGTACTACTATGGCTACAAGTCTGTAGCTAATTGCTCACTCTGAATGTGGTAATCCATGATCAATCCAATTGCATCCAGTCCTAGACAACAGTCCCCCTGTTCCCTCTCACCTCTCGTCCCCAGTCTGTAGCTCTCTGTGACACAGCGGCCCCGGCCCCCAGGTCCTGCCCTTCCTGCGGGGGCCTCTCCTCTCCTCGTCCTCTCCGTCAGGCTGGAATGCAGCATTCCGCCCCCATGTCTTGCTGCTTTCTCCCGGGGTCACTGCAAACCAACGGGAGGAATACAGGGATGAATACAGGGCCGCAGAACAGATGGGAATCATGCTGATCACAAAAGCACTAGGAATAAAAGAACTGTGTAGAAACAAGCCATTTTTTATAGCCACCCTATTTAGAAATGTGTTTTGAAGACCTGACATTGCAGCAACTCCTCCTGTACCTCTCGAGAAAAAACAAGACACTTCCTGACATGTGCTCAACCCCCCAAGCCATTCGTCATTTCATGCACCGCAAGCTCCACAGTGCCTCACAGGCAAGTTAGTGCTGATTGGAGGACAGGCATGTCCCTCACTGACATCACTGCAAACTACAGGAGTCACTGTTTGTCAGAAAGCTGGCAGTGGCGGACTAAGATCCACCTCCAGTGGTACTCGGACAGTTGTGCGCAGCTACTTGGAAAACCCGGTCACAACTGGTGCCAGACAGACCCAGGATTGAACAAACAGCATGGGGCCATGAAGCTCGTATT